CTGCAGTACGACCGCTAGCCTGGGGTCTTTAACGTGCACCACGCAGTAGTGATACACGACCGCACGTCGCGGTAAGATGCTCGATCCACACCGAAACAGGCAAGGGTGGAGGAATTACACCAGAGAAACACTGTAGCCGGAAACCCTCTCGCCTCCTCTATACTCAGTATAGAGGAGGCTATGGTGAAACATGTTTTTGGTAATTTGTGCGCGTGCTTTTTTCGTGTTTGCATGCTCTCCTGTGCATAATGCCTCTCCTGCGCATAATGCCTGTGCATAACGCCTCTTTTGGACATAATGCCTCTCCTGTGCATAATGCCTCTCCTGTGCATAAAGCGTCTTTTGGGCATAATGCCTCTTTTGGGCATAATGCCTCTTTTGGGCATAATGCCTCTTTTGGGCATAATACCTCTTTTGGGCATAATGCTCGCCTGGGCATAATGCCTAATGGCGCAGCGGTCAAATAAACAATAAAGATGAGAGGAAGTAACAGGGGAGCCTTCCCGCATCCTCGAGCAATTCTGTGAATAAAAAGCGGGACACGTGCTGCGGCCGACGAGTGCGCTGTCCGCAGTTTTCACGGGCCTTCTGGTAGCCACACAATGACCGACAATCCTCGTCGTGTCGCGCGTAAGCCAGCTTTTGCGAGCCAAGTTTGAACAAAACGAAATGGAGCCTATCTTGTAAATTTTTTTACACAAAGGTGTCCCCGAGCGTAAACCTCGGCGCAGCGTTGGTCTCGATTATGCTCGAGGGCTGTACGACTCGCCTGAACTGGCTGAACTAGTTCAACGGGGCATAAACTGGCGCATTCGAATCAACCACCGGAAGTTCCACGGCCGCTGCACGGGCGCGTTCGATTCAACCCAGTTCTCAACGAGTTCAAACCCGCGGTTGAATTCCTCAAAACCTTGCACCAGTTGAATTCCTCAAAACCGTGTGGCGACTTGCAAAGTCAAGTCGCCACAGATTAGTTGTCTTGCTCTCCCTGATGAACTATTTAACACAATCAACTTAGAAGACACTTATTTGTATCCGGTCTTATAGCCGTCATTACTTCACTCAAAGAAGGACCAGGCTTCGTCTCGAAAGACGATTGCGCGTTTTTACATGACGATACGCCATTCTTCGTTTTCAACATTGGGGAATGTATTTTGAAGTCGGGAGTTGTACTTTCACCGAAAGTACCAGAAAAAAAAAATACTTTAGTAAAGTACAAGTACGTGCTCAGAGAATGTACTTGTCGAAGGAATTACTAAGGTTCTCGAACGATCTTCGAACCATGGAAGACCTGCATATTCTGAGTGTTAACAGAAAAGGCAACGCCAAGAGGTCACCTTTGCGCGGCTCTTTAGCACGCGATTCTTCAAGTACAGCACGAACTACAAGAGCACCAGATGAGCTTCAGAGCGGGTGCTGCATGTAGTTGCCTCATTTGAGTGAGGATGCAGCGTGTAAACCTCTTGTAGTGGGCGAGAGTTCCTACGTTAAGGAGAAGCCGATTGCAACGGCTTACTACGTGACACTGGCAGTGTATTTATGGTGGTTAAGGTTTTACAGCGGAGCTGTTAAGGGCTAGTTTTCCCAGGATCGTGTCTCCCGCAAAGGAATGAAGACACCGAACTCTGGACACCTACCGCCATCTATGAGCGACGGCGGCAAGCCACGGATCTGGTTGCCGCCGTCGCTCATAGATGGCGGCAGCCTTTCCCCTTTGGTAGGGTGCCTACATGTCTGTCTGTCTCAGGGTGAAGACATCCATTGTTGCCCTGGATGTGTCAGCGCGTGACGCTCTCGAGCGCTCGGTGCGTGACTTGGGCGGTAAAATGGCGTCTATGCGTTAGTCAAAGCTACGCGCCCGAGCTGACTGACACCGAATTGCGCGCACTTCAAAATGCATAAAAAAACGACTGGGCGGAAAAATGGCTGAGATGTCACCACTCAAGCAAAAGCGCGCGTGTGTATGAAGGCACTCTACCCTTTGGCTTGCCGACTTGCGGCCGGCCATTACTTTCCATTGTAAAGGTCTTCCTTCTTCACCACAGTGGAAGGGCTGAAAGTTTTTATTTGTACATCACACGCCCCAAAACCGACGATCGAGAATTGGCCGTTTTGAGTCGCGCTCACTCTCGTTTCCGTGGTAACGAGACGTTTTGTATGGTTTCGACACAACCACCAAAGGTAATCAAAGTTGTGGGTCATCGAAGGCACACAGTTAATACTAACAATAAACTTAAAGTGAAAGACCGATTTTTTTTTTTTTTTTTTGCGGCTTCTAAAAGGTTGTAAATACATTGACTGAAACAAAAAGAGCTGCACAGCCATAAGACTTCCGGTCAATTTCTCCCCCTCTTGATTTCTTCTTCCTCCCCAGTTCAGTTTCGGTTTCGAGCTATCCTTGAAGGCGGCGCTTCTGGTCTTATGTTCAAGGGTGAACGGAGTATATTTATGGGTGCAAAACAACCGGAGCACGGAATATCCGAAACGACCGCGGAGGAAAACATCCCATCGGACAGCCATGCCAACAAACATTTCTTGTCAATAAATTAATGAAAGAATCTCGTTGAATGAGTCGCATCCATTGCAGCACAGACTGGCCGCGAAACCTTTCGTAATCCTCAATTACTCAGGGACACTGTCGTCAAACTACCAAATATTCAATAATATTTTTTTTTCAAATGTCCAGTAAGTTGGGCTGGCAACGAGTTCTCAAAGTCTGCCAAACAAAGAAATAAGCACAAGTAAACCCGATAAGGAGGCCGACGGAACAGAAAAGATGTTCCCCGGAGCGGATCATGAGCGGAAACGACAATTGCGGCAACGTCCGGAAGGCAGGCGGCCGTCGCGACGCTTGCTCACCTTCCGCGGCGACGCAGGAGCCGAGTTGCAGGGTGAATCCACGCTCACGATGCGCACCCTCAGGGTGACTCCGCGACGACGCATCACCACCGGCACGTCCTCCTCGTAGATGGTGTTTTCCTGTCGCTCCATCGCCGCCCGCTCGCCGACACTCCGAGCAACACACACTCTCACATCTCGTCGGTCCACCTCGGACAATCAGCTCCGACACCGAACTCCGAACGCAATCGCGCGATGGGCAGATGCAGCTGGCGCAGACGGTGTCATTCTTCTTTTGCTCAGAGATCTTAAAACCAAGAACGCAGTTTCTTCCGAGATCTTCAGCCGAAGGTCTCTTCCTAGATCTTGAGTCGAAGAATTCCTTGTTCGCGAGATATTCAGCCGAAATGAACAGTTCCTTGCGAGACCCTCGGCCGAAGGAAAGGTTCCCAGATGTTCAGCCGAAGGTTGCTTCAGAGCCGCGGCACCTTCCGTCGAAGACACTCGGGTGTCGGCAGGAGAGGCGCGACAGGTGTGGCATTCCAGCAAAAGGTGAACACGACCGGGCAGCCAAACATGCACCCCGAAAATCACACCACGGCGCCTTATCGAGCGCGCTCCGCGCGAAAGCACACTCGAAGGCACCTCTTCGCATTGACACTGGCCGGCGCCTAATCAGCACTCGGGGAAAAGCTGCCTCGAAGAAAAGAGCATCCAAAGTTCGGTCAACACTCGCAACAAGGACGTGAATGCTCTCGAGACCAATCTGAACGGCGGAAATGCAAGTGAGAGAGAGAGATAGAGAGGTGTCCCGGTGTTCGCCAATCAAAGGTGTCCCATCCCTGGGCGCTATGGCAACTCCGGGCGGGGGGCTCTCATTCAGCGACCCCGTTCGACTGAACCGTTTACCACATCGCATCCGCGGCGGCGGCAACAACAACAGCAGCGCCAAGGCGTCGCTCGACACACACATCGACCGGAACCCACCACACAAAGCGCCCGCTTCCGCACGAGATCGAAACTCGGACCGCGTGAACCGAACACCACAGGGACTGGTCCACTTTGAAACAACCGCGTGGCCACCGCGGCTCCGGGACGAGCGACCATTTTTGGATTCCTTTTGGACGGCGAGAGCGACGCGCTCACTCGACGAAGCAGACGACACGGGAAGTCGCTATCGGGTGTCGGGTACGTCCGGCCCGACGGCGTTTCCTCCTCCTCCGAACAATCCAGGGGCGAGACTCACTTTTGGGGTCAATCCGAAGCGACTAATCAACGCTCTATCCGTCCATCACCGCACACTGTAGCCGAAGATCCGGAAAGCTGAACTCGTCCAAAGCGTTCACCACATCGCAGAGGCCACGTGACCGCCACCAGTCCGGCTGGCTCCCAAAACTGTTGCACTTCCAAGTTAGCAGACGCGAACAAAACGAAGGAACGCAGACGGCTGAAAAAAGGTTCGTTCATGGGGAAGAGAATATGCGAGGCGGAACGTGCCGTTGCAGACGGCAACCGCGGAGAGGAAAGCGGGGGAAATCGGCATTATCGCGAGGTCCGTTCGGGCGTGCACGGAATCACCCCCCACCACGCGCTCTATGTTGCGGCGGCGGCGGCGGCGGGGTGCAGACCCGGGGAGCAGACGACGCGAGAAACAGAAACAGAAAACAACGCAGAGCGCGCAGATCGATGTCCCCCTCGCGGCGCCCAGCGGCGAACCGAAAACTGCGGCCGCAGATCGTGGCGCCGCCACTCGTTCAACGGGAGAACAATATTGAAACATTCAGCGCGCTCGGTTCGTATTGGTGACCCATTCTAGCCCACTACAGCATCGGTAACCACTGAGGCACTTGACAAACGTCAATGGCGCTTTCCGTTTAAAACCCCCGCCCAGACAAGCTGGGGAGCATTCTGTCTGCGTTTGGAACGGCTATTTTGGGCTGGGAACATTTGCCCGCGCTATGTCGCGCTCTGTGGAATTTTACTAAGTTCTTCAGGGTCGAGAAGAAAATCAGACTTAAAAATAGACACGATACAAATTAAATATATGCCTCTAAAAAACAAAACAAAAAAACTTTTGAGTGAGTTGTTAATAAACTTCTCACTCTCTTAAAAAAGATTGCTGTCGTATTAGATTACATTAGTTGTGGAACTCCCGCGAAAGGATGCATTCCTTTTCAGTCTGCCCCCCCGTCGTTTGAAGAGCCATCTAGATTACCGTTTCATAACTGTGTGTTCTAGCAGACCTTCAACGCCATCTAGAAGCTGTGCTTCAAAACGTATGTATCCCATAGGTATACACTGTAGTTACCATAGCAGCCGTCCGGCGGCGCGTCGAGTGACGGGAGGCGACTCGTGGTGAGTGAGGGGGTGTACTGCTCGTGCAAGCGGCGTCTATCTGAGCAATTCCGTAGCTGAGCTAATCGACTACCGTTGGCCTTAGGGATAGAAATTAGGGTATGGCGAAATCTGACTAGTGTTTTGTTCGCATAAATGTGTGTTTATACATATCCTACGACAATTTCGAGCTTTCATGTAAAAAAATAATACAATCTCTTTGACCTTCGAAAAAGAAAAAAAAAATAAGAAAACTGCAGTTGCTGGAGGGTTGGGAGACTATTTAAGGTATCGTACCTACAGGGGGCCTGACCCACTGCAGATGTTTATTTATTTATTAAACAATCATACGCTTTTTTTTTTTAAATCTTCAGATGTCTCAATTAACTTCCTATGACTACAGATGGCGTCTTCGGTTTGTGTTTGACGTAAAAACGATATCTCTGGCTACTCTGTAGGGTTTGTATCAGTTCGACATCCAACGAACAGTTTTGTGTTGAATCTGCCTTACGCTGATCTCGCTCGTATTCAACCTGCTACCGTTTTTAGAGCAGCTAAGCGGAGAACGTATAGCTACTCTAACAGATCACGACGAGTAGTACTAGCTATTCATGCGATCGGTGTGAGCACCGTTCGCACAAAAACCGATAACTCTTCGTTAGGCATGTGGAAATAATGAACTTTAGGTTCGAAGCAAATTCACAGTAATTACGCGGTAGTTTTGGCCCAATATTTTTTTTTATCGCATATTGAATAGTTGCTGCGCGTTTCTCCATGCCTTTCACTACTGTTGCACCATGCTTACACAAAAGTTCATCAGCTAAACTCGCAAAGGTTGTTGCCAAGCTTCTAATTGCCAACTTAAGCGATCTGTTAAATTTAATCTAGCCATATTTATAGGCTGCGGCCTCAGACAGTCCGATGCCTACAATAGGTTGGCAAGTAAATGACAGATTTGACATAAAATTAAACTTAAACAGGGGAGCTCTGCCATACCTAACTGAGGGAATTTATAGATCTTATTGCTATAGGAAACTTTTTTCTTAAATTCTGAATTAAAACAAGCACAAGTAATGTACAACAAGCACAAGTAATGTACACAGGTTGTTAAAACACCGCTGCCCAACATACAACGTCGCATAACAGCCACAGTTAGATTTTGAAGATTTTACTACAATATAAATATCACAAATGACGTGTTTTTTATATTATTATTATTATTATTATTATTATTATTATTATTTCTTACTTCTTCATATGATCAACGGCTTCATTCAGCGTCGTGCGGTTCCTGAAGTTTTAAAAACTGCTATTGTTAGGCCAGTGCTAAAGGGTGGCAAACCAACTGTAATTGGTAATTACCGCCCCATATCTATTCTGCCTGTTGTAGGACATTTATTAGAAAAGCATCTTGTTTCGATGATGACCAGTTTTTTAGACAAGTACCCAATTGTACCGGAGACGCAATATGGTTTTGTGCCAGGTAGAGGCACGTAATTGTTGTTAGATGACGTTGCCGATTATATAAACTCCGCTTTTGATGATAACATGTTTTGCTGCGCTCTTTTCTTGGATGTGTCAAAGGCCTTCGACACCGTGAACCACTCCGTCCTGCTGCGTAAGCTTTTCAAGGCGGGTTTTAGGGGGCCTTTTTTTGATATGTTGTCTAATCTGCTTTCCGGTCGCTCGCAGCGTGTGCGGGTGGGGCACGAGTTGAGCGCTATCTGAAAGTAGGCGTTCCCCAAGGCTCGTTGTTGTCACCTTTGTTATTTAATATCTACGTCAGCGATCTTCCCTCGGCCATCGAGAGTTGTACCTGCTACCAGTATGCTGACGACACTCTGCTGATATCGCGGCATATCGATTTTGCGAGAGCCCTAGACATTTTACAAGCCAATGCTAATAAAGCAATGGATTGGTACTCGGCGAATCTTTTAAAGGTGAATGTGGCTAAAACAAAATTGATGTGTTTTCGAAATCCGCTGAAACAAGGTTTCGTAGAAATGCCGTTTTTCCTTCATGGTATAATGTGCGACCCTTGTACTTGTGTCCCGGTTAAGTGGGTGGAGACCACTAAGTCCATGGGAATTTCTTTTGACCACGACATGTCTTGGAATAATCAGTTGGCATACATATGTAGAGTGTTACGGAAAGTGGCCTGTATGCTTTATAATATTAGAATCTTTGTTCCTTTTCATGTTCGAAAAATTTTGGTTTATGCCCTGGCATACAGCGTACTTAGGTACGGGATTACGGTGTTTGCGCACAGTAGTGGACAGCGGCATGCTAAAGTGAACTCCTTGTTGAAAAGTGTTTTAAAAAGTGTGGCGTACAATTCAATTTTCACAGACAGCACGAACATTTTCAGTGACCTTGAGATGCCTAATTTTTTTTCTCTACTTCGACAAACAGTCATACTTCGCTATTTTTGGACGAATCAGTTTAAGATTTTGCACGAGCCGTCTCGCACGCTAAGGAAAACAACCCGTTTTATACGGCCTCGTTGCTTCACGAGGTATGGGAAGAGAACCCGTGATTACTATGTTCCGGATATTTTCAATGATCTTCCTGAATGTGTTTTCTCTTTCGACTCTAAAACTAAGGTTAAAAGATGGCTCCGTTCTTTTATGGTCGATTCAGGGTAGGTAGTTATGGGTGTGTAGAAGACCAGAGTGTTAGTTACGTAGGTTAGGTGTGTGTGTGTGTTTTTTTCTCTTCTTTATTTTCTGTCTTTTTTTGTATTTTTTATTTTTTTTTCTTTGCCTCTGCGCTTTTGTAACATGCTGATGGTGAGGTTGAAGGGTTCCAGTCCCACAAGCCATTTAGGCTTTGACTGACCCGATTTTTTACTGTAATGTGGATGTTGCAAATAAAATTATTATTATTATTATTATTATTATTATTATTATTGTTATTGTTATTATTATTATTATTATTAATTCTTCCCTTTTCCTTCCCTTTTTCCTTCCCTTTTTAAATGAAATTGATCTCCATTCTATGTTGTTTAGTTTTAAAGCAAGCAAGTCCCCTGGTGCTGATGGCATTTGCGCATATGATCTGCAGAGAAATTTCACACGAATTAAGGATGTTCTTCTAGTCATGCTCAATAGCTTTATTACTTTTGCCAACATACCTGATGGCCTAAAGGTTGCCATCGTTAGACCCCTCTTCAAAGGAGGCGCCCGATCGAAAATCGAGAATTATCGCCCTATTTCTTTATTACCAATTTTAGGCCAAATTCTCGAGAAACACCTCTTTCAGTCGATGTATAGATTTTTGGATACAAATGAGATCTTCTCACCCACTCAGTACGGTTTCATTGCTGGAAAAGGCACGCAGCCAGCCCTTGACGATTTTTCTGATAACTTATATTCCACATTTGAAAATAATATGTTCGCATGCGCGCTTTTTCTTGATGTGTCTAAGGCCTTTAACACTGTCAACCACCAACTGCTCCTAAGGAAATTACATCGCCTGGGTTTTCGTGGACCTTTTTATTCCTTACTAGAAAACTTCCTTTCTCACCGTTCTCAACTCGTGTCAATCGGTGGCTTTAAGAGTTCTCTTCTTTCTCTTAAAGCGGGGGTGCCTCAAGGTTCAGTGTTATCACCTCTACTTTTCAACATTTTTGTTAATGACATGGCTAATGTCGTCAGTGGATGCACGCTCCACCAATACGCCGACGATACCCTTCTTGTGTCGCGTCATATTAATTTCCATGACTCTTTCAAAAAACTTGAAGAGAATGCTACCCATATAATGGACTGGTTTGCTGAAAACATGATGGACATTAATAAGTCTAAAACAAAGCTAGTTTATTTTCGTAATCCTCTTAAAAGCCACCCTACTAATGTAAAGTTTATTCTTCACCGATCTAAATGTGATCCATGTACATGCATACCAATTGAGTCGGTTAATCATGTTAAATACTTAGGTGTTTATTTTGATTTTGATATGTCGTGGAACACACATATTTCATACTTATGTAGCAAAATACGAGCTGTATCTTGCATGCTTTACAACACTAGAGTCTTTATACCAGTTGGTGTAAGGCTGCTGATAGCTCACGCACTTGCTTACAGTGTCATTCGGTACGGCGTAACCGTTTTTGGAAATTGTTCTGGTCGCTTGCAAACCAAAGTTGATACCTTACTGAGAGGAATACTCTGTAGCGTTGCATATAATACACCTTTGTCAACAACTGGGGATATTTTCAAAGCTCTCCAATTGCCAAACCTCCGTTCACTGTATATTCAAACTGTTATATTA